GCCAAATATAGCACCAAGGCCACCCCTCCATATCGCACCCAGAAACACCCAGATGTGTGCTCCGTCAGAGCCTGGGGCAGATCCCAAAGCAAATCAAGCTAACATCCACCCTTGCCAGGATGTGGCCCAGGGACTGTCCTGCTCCACAGCACTGGCCAGAGGCGGGAGGTGCAGAAGTAGCTGGTTGACGCTGAGATGTGAGGGGCTTTGTCCCCACCACATACATGACCTTAACTGTAACCTTCGCAGTGGCAAACATAAAGCCTTCCTCAAAGAGTCACTGTAGTGGGGTTGTCTGCCCTGCAGATGCCTGGTCTTCTTTCCCCTGCTCGAGAGGGTAGGATAAGGGAGAGCATCTCCACATCCAAAGAATGTGCCCAGAGTGGATGGCAGCAAATTCCATCAGTCTGAATATGAAACTGGTGGAAAGCTTAGTATGTGAAATTATATTTGTGCCCTCCCAGAGAGCAAAGAAAATTAAGAAATGAACCAAGTAACTCATCATATTTATTACGTGTGAGATGAAGGTGCAGTATTACCATTTCCTTCTGATAGTCACATCTAATAGTTCTAAAACCAATTCACAGTATTCATGTCAGATGTATTTTATGAGACATTTAACCATCGCTAAATTAAATTTCATAAGGGAATGTGCCTATATAACTTCTCTGGAGTTACAAAGATAGAAATCTGACCCATCATTTCTATTTCCACAGAAACCATTTAGCCAAACTTTGTTCCAGCGGAAGTGCGTATAGAGTTGTAAGCTTAACACAGTTCATTGACTGTGTCTCTCCACACTGATATTTTTCGCAGTGTGGATTTGCTCAGTTCATTAGTACTGACAGCAGATGGTAGCACGTTCACATAAATTTACCTCCTGAATTGATCTGAGAAATGTCACTAAAAGGATCCTGATAGTGGTGATGTTTTCCCATTTCTGAAAAAGGTGTGTTAAACAAATCAAGTCTAGGAGTTTAGATTTTTCTTTAACTCCAAACTTAAGTCCTAAACCAACTAACCACTGCTTTCATCTCTGATTCTGGATGTCTGAAGGAAGAGAAAATTCAGATCATCTTCCCTGATACCATAAACCTTAAGAAACCACACTGAAGAGAAATGGCTTTTAGAGAACATTCTCCAGATTGTCTATGTTGACCTCAAAGCTCAAATTATTTGTAAATTCTGAACTTGGTCTAAACACAACTTGCTGGGCCTGTAGGATGAGCTGATAAATGTGACTGAAAAAAAATAGCATTGGCATTTTGACTGGGATTGTATTAAATCTGTATATCAATTTCAGAAGTATGACCATTTTGACTGTATTAGTTCTGCCTATCCAGGGACAGGAATTATCTTTCCAATTTCTGATGTCTTCCATTTTCTTTTTCAGAGTGCCATAGGTTTTGGTGTAGAGGTGTTTCACTTCCTTACTTAGGTTAATCCCTAAATATTTAATTTTCCTTTGTGCCATTGTGAATGGTATTTTTTTCTAAATTTCTTTCCCAGTGGCTTCTTTATTTGTGTACACTATTAATTTTTGTGTGCTGATTTTGTATCCTCCTAACATTACTAAGTTTGGTTCTTCCAAAAAGAATTAAAAGACATCATATTACGGTGACCTATGCACACCGTATTTATAGCAGTTAAGTCCTGGAAGCAGCCTATAGGTGTATCAACAGATGAATGGATAGTATTTACACACCATGGAGCATTGCTCTGCCGTAAAGAAAGGTAAATTTAAGTTATTTGTAGGAAAATGGATGCACCTTGAGATACCATGTTAAGTGAAGTAAAACAGACGCAAAAGCTTAAATATCTCATGGTTTCTCTTATATGAGAAACCCAAAATATAAATACAGAGCAGAATAAGATATAGATAATAGGAAATAGGGAGATGAACTTTCTCCAAGGGGAAGGTGATTGAGATATGCAGGAAGGGGGGTGATGGAGAAAGAACTAAGATGTGCTATGTATATGAACCAGCTTCCCACAAGGAATGGAAACATGCTATAAACACAAACTAATTAAAAATAAATAGATAGAATTTCTTAAATAGTACTGGCTCAGGCCACAACAGTAACTTGGAATTCTGTGATTTCTGACATGTGAAGAAAGAACTCCATGGAACTAACCACATTTCTGAGTTATAGACCCTTTGCCTTGAATTAGGCTTCAATCAATTTAAAATGACCTTAGTGTTTGCTAAATGGATGAAAGTCAATATATGAATTCTAGTCAAGGACACTTGATATTTTCCTATATAATATGAGAGCCAGGTGTGGTGGCGCACACCTGTAATCCCAGCACTTGGTAGGCTGAGGCAGGAGGATCGTTGCGAGTTCGATGCTAGCCTGAACTGCATAGTGAGACCTGGTCTCAAAAAAAACAAAAAAAAAAAAATGTATATATATGAGAATTATTCCATTCATTGTAACCTAAGTCTGTGCATTTAGTAATCCTGAGTATAGCTTGAGCGTGCCTAATACAAATATCTGAAACCTGAAGTATCCCCAACTCCAAGCTTTTTGACCAACAAAAGTTCTGGATTTTGGAGCATTTTGGATTTCATATTTTCAGATGAGGGAGGGTCAACTGGTAAAGTCTATGAAAATATCCCAGAATCCAAAATCCGAAACACTTGTGGTCTCATATATCTGGATAAGAGGTAGTCAGCCTGTTTTTAGAAACAAAGATCTATTTTGTGTATTTTTAAAATTAATTCTCCATCTGTATTTGCAAAGTAATTAATGATTTGGTTAATTTGCCACAACTAAGAGAAACTAATCCATTTGAGAAAGGATTGGGTGTTGAACCATGTACAATTTAATCCTGTAATTAATTATGGATGCCTTGACACATTGCTAGGAGGCATGGCATGGTTAACAACGTGCTTAAAGAATGTACTTCAGGAGAAGGAACTTGGGGTTTCAAATGCTGTCAGCACCAGCACCCCTACTAACATTCTGACAGTAGAGGACCGCTGAATACTGACTTGATTCTCTTCGAGCACCTTGCTCCCATTGGCTTCCATGTCTTCCTCCTGCCTGTCACGGATTTTACATTCATAGATGTTATAAACCCAATGCTACAGGACTAGAGTTTTTGCTTATACAGTTTTATTAAGGGAAGAGAATCTTTTGCAAAGGGGAAGAAGACCAAGAGGTGGAAAGAGGCATGGGGAAGCAAAAAAGCATCAAGATGTGTCGTGTCCATGCACCCGCCACCAACCGTGAATGCAATCATTACGCACTGCAGACATGAACGAATAAAATTTTAAAAATATCTTAGTCTTTATATTTACTATGCATGAAAGTTTTTATTGTGTGTGGTGAGGGGGGAGCTTGAGTTATCTTTTGGTATTATTTCCTGATGAACTTCCTTGGCAATATCTTTTTAGGCAGGTTTACTAACAAGTAATTGACTTGGTTTACTTCCCTGAGAATCTGTTTATATTACCCTCATTTTTGAAGCACAGTTTTGGTGAATATGAAATTTTTGAGGGTTTTCTTCCCCAGAACTTTGACTGTGCCTCTCTGCTACCCTCTGGGTTGTCTCCTGTTTGTGTGAAGAGTCCTTACATGTTGCTTCTTCTAAGATTTTCTCCTTGACTTTGGATGTGAGCCATTTGACTAGGTGTGGATCCCTCTGTGCTTAGGCTTTGCTGAGGTTCTTGAATCTTCAGATTAATGTTTCCCATCAAAGTTTGGAAGATTTCAGCCAGTATGTCTTTAAAGATCCCACCTCCCTCTTTCTCTCTGCTTTCCTCTGCAGAGCTCTATTACACAAATGCTGGTGCAGTTGAGGCAGTTCTGCAGGTCTGAGGCTCCTTTTGCTCCACTTTTTCCTCGTCCTTCTTCTGACTGAGTGGTTTGTATTGTATATCTTCAAATCCACCAGTTCTGTGTACTGCTGTCTCATATCTACCGTGGAGCCAGCTAATGACCTCTGTTGTTTCTGGTATGGTATATAGCAACTCCAGAATTTCCATCTGCTTCTTTCTACAGTCTTTGTATTCCTTCATTGAGATTCTATTGCAGAGTCATTGTCATAAGTTTTCCCCTTTAATTCTGTGGCCATAGTTTTCATCTTTTGAACGTATTTATAGTAATTGCTTTGCATTCTCTGTGAATACAACGTGTGAGCCCTCTTAGAGTCAGTTTTCATCAGTGACATTTCCTCCCTTAGTATGCATCACACTTTTTGGTTCCTTTGCATGTCTCATAAATTTCTTTAAAAACGAGTTTGGATAATATATTGCAAGTATTCTGGATTTCAATCCCATGGTTGTCTTTTTGTTATTACTGCTGTTCTTTTTCTTTGTTTTGGTGAACTTCCCAGGCTCTATCTACAGAATTTGTCCCTCTGTCCATGTGGACAACAGTGCGTCTGTTGCTTGTTTTTAATTCTTAGTTTTCATTTTCTCCTGCCTTCCTTCGGGTTGTCCAACTTTGCCTAGAGCTGGATCACCGGGGATCAGGCTGAGCTGACGGTCAAATACCCCTAGCTCAGGAGGGCTCCCCCTTTTGCTGAAGTCTGTGTGCCTGGCAGGGAGCACCCCAGAAGTGAGCTGGGGTCTAGTCAGAAGAGGCGGGTCACTGTGTGGGTGACCCGGAGGGTTTATCTCCCTTCCCGCCTCTTCCCTTGACTCACTGCTTCCTGTCTCCCACGCCATGAGCAGCTTTGCTCTACCCTGTGCCGCTGCTAGGCGGCCCTTCCTTGGAGCCAGACAGCTGTGGACTGTGAGCTCAAATCAAGCTCTCCTCCTTTAAGTTGCGGGTGTCAGATATTTTTGTCTCAGCAATGAGGAAAGTGACTGATGTACTAACTCCTGCCATCTTTGGGTTATAAATTATGTTGGGTTATAAAATAGGAAATCCACCTGCATGTTAATTCAATAACTTGAAATTTAGGACACATCCTTATTTTAAAGGATTAACCAGATTCCTCAATTTTGTCAAAGTCACAGTGATTCTTACAGGAACATCTGATTCTTACAGGAACATCCAATACTGGGACAACCCTTTTTTGTACTTCATCCTTGCAAGACTACTGAATTCATGACTCCAGTGTTAAAGAATTCCCAGAAAATCAATAGGTAAGAAACACCTTCAAGATACATTGGCCTCTCCTCTGATTTTAGAAGTGTAAATCTTTTTATGTGACTCTAAAAACTAGGCTAAAGAAGAAATATTCTTTGTAATAATAATAATGGCTAACATGTATTGATTTTTACTGTGTGCTAGGCGATGTCCTAAGAGTTTTAGATATATTAGCACATTGTATTTTTATAACATCCTATGAGCGAGGTACCATTATTTTACCCAGTTTACAGAGAAGAAAGCAAAAGCAGGGAGGAGTTAAGTCACACAGTTAAGTGGTGGAACTGGGCCTTGGATCCGGGCATGTTTGTCTCAGAGCCCTGCTCGTAATCACTGCGCTCTGAACCTTCATAATGCCTCTGGTGGATTGACAACTGGTGGTGGACTTGTAACCCCAGCTGAACTGAGTAAGCATGGTGCTGGGTGTGGGAGGCCCACCTGAGGACTGTTGCCAGCAGCATAAGAGGCAGAACTGGAGAAGAAGAAGTTGAGGTTGTTAGGAGCTGGTGGAAATTGTTGGGAGCTGGTAGAAGCTGTAAGAAGCTGTTGGTTCCCTTAAAGCAGCTTGTCATGCTGGCTTTCCTGATGAACTCGGCTGTTCTCATCCTCCAAAGAGCTCAGGACCTTTTTGTCTCTGAGAATGGCTTCGGTTCACTTTGGGGGAGCTCTGGTCCTCACTTTGAGCATCGCTTCCGGGCTCCAGCGGGGAAGATGGTACACTGCTTAGTCTCCTGGAAAAACTTGTCGCATTGGCTTTCCTGATGGAATTCAGCTATCCTGATCATCGGGGGAGCTCAGGACCTCATTGTTGCTGAGGATGGCTGTGGTACCTTTGTGGGGAGTTCTGGTTCTTACTTTGAGCATTGCTTCCTGGCTCCAGTGCAGATCCCCTAGCCTGCTAGCACAGATCCTTCATCCCACTGGCACAGAATTTCTAGCTTCCACCACTGACCTTTGGGCCTTCTCAGTGCAGATCCATGAAACAGGCCTTCATGAGACATTGTCATGGGCTCTGGGCCTCCAGCTGGACTCATGGGAGGCACTGTTATGGGCTGTAGGTCTTCAGCTGAACTCACGCAGGACATTATTGTGGGATCCAGGCCCTCAGCTAGATTCTTTGGTCTTTAGTACATGGACATATTTCCTGCACTCTGTTTGTATATGATTCTTTGGGTGTCTATTATAAATAATCTCATAGAAATGTGTCCTGTATTATATTGTTCCCCTTGCAAAAACCCCAGACCACAACAATGCCAGAAATTTCATGCAAAGGACTTGAGTCTCAAGGGGAGGCCTGAGCCCCTGTGCCTGTCATGCCCGTCAGCTCCCTTAGGGAGGGATCCTCACGTTGTCCCTGGTCCTCAGCTCCTTGTCAAGGGAAGGGTCTGGTGTCCAGATGCTGAGATGCCAGTGCGGCACATGTCCTTGAAGAAAGCCTCATTTCTGTACCTGCTGATAACTGAGTGGCTTCTACCATTCACCCAGAAGCTATAACAGAAGCTATACTGGAAGCATTAATGCACCTGTATCCCTTCATTTCCAGGAACTTCAACTACGTCACAGCGTGGCTGAGCATCGTGGGGCCAGCTGTGGGGCTGAATCTCCCTCTGAGTTATGCCAAGGTCACCTCCCAGGATGAATGAGAGGTCCACTGACAAGGTAAAGAACAGCGTGGATGTCACAGTTTGCTATTGGAAAGATCAGTGTCTCTGCTGCATGGAGACTTGTCCCTGCTGCATGGCAAGTTCGTTTTTGTCATCACTGGGCTGAACTCTGGTTTGTTCTTTGCTCTTCTGGTATCCTGCCTAGTTATTTACGAAGCATTCAACTTGACGGTTTCATTTCAGTACCAGTGTTCTTGAAATAAGTCTTTATTGCTCAGTTAACCATTTTTATCTCTTGGCAGTTGTTTTGTTCTTGTTCACAGATTCTTCTGTTCGGCTTAGCAATTGCAGCAAGAAGAACTCCTGGAGCTTACCTGGCCAGCCCAGTTCTTGTGAGAGCAGCGCTGTGCATATTTCCTGCCACCAGGAGTTGACATGGGTTGTTCCCCCTGGGAGGACAATACCTGCCATAACTGACATTTGATATACTGAATGGTTAGAAGAAACCTGTTAGAGATACAATCACTCTAAGTGGCAAAAACCCAAATCTAATTCAGTATTTCTGTAAACACAGGCACCATTGGGATGCTTACGGGTTATTCTTTTCTGGGCCAGTCACTTCACATGCCTTCTCCCAGTATGGAACGTGATGCAGAAATGTACCCGTGTGTTCATCTTAATGTAAGAGGTGTGCACATTAAGGTACTGAATTAGCCTGCCCCTCGGCGCACACAGAGGCCCATGCCTGCAGTCCCAGCACTTTGGGAGGCTGAAGAAGGATCGGATCCCAAGTTAGCATCCTACCTGAGCAACTCCACAAGACCCTGCTTGAAAATAGAAAATAAGTAATGGAGATGGAGATGGAGCTCAGTGAAGGCCATAGGTTCAATCCCAGTACCGGGAGGAAAAAAAGGAATTTACATGGGCTTGAAAACTGATGTTATAAATTATATAAGACCTGGTGATGTTATAAGTTATATATGACCTGGCTTTGATTATTCTCCCACAAACAAACTCAGGGACAATAGGTTATTTCTATTTTGCTCTGTACTAGTGTGTGTGTGTGTGTGTGTGTGTGTGTGTGTGTATGATAGGACATACAGAATAAAGGGAAAATATAAACATTTTGTTGTAAGTGTGATAATGTATTTTATAAACTAAATATATGGTAATTAAAAATTATAAAAGCTACAGGAAATATTTAAACATTACAAGTTCTTTTTACTGATGGTAATAAAACAGTGGTCATTTTGCCCTCTCCTGTCGAACCCACAGCTCTGCTGGACTATTGGAGAGGTTTTGTGCAAGTGTTTGTATCCCTAAGACTTAACTGTCTTCGTCTTTAAAAACAGAATAACAAGCTGCCTTGCAGGACCTCCAGGACCTCACAAGATCATTAATGCGGGAGAAAATATGGACATTCACCCAGTGCTCGACTTTCTTACATCTGATTGTTACTCAGTCTGTGAATAAGTTTACAAGCTGGTCAGAGATCAGCCGAGCTCGTGCGGAGGATCGCCTGCCTCGTTGCTTGGTTAGTTTTCACTGTACTTCCTTCCCGGGGCCAGCATGGGAAAGGTTTAAGCGGTTTCATCTTCCTCAGTGAAGGAGGCAGAAGTTAGCATCACCTGAGCTGCAATGCCGGGCTACCTCCTGAAGCAGCTGTCTGGGTGTCTTGAGGTCCTGCAGCGGACGATGTGCATCATTACATGGAAACACGAACTTCACCGTGTCCCGTGGCTGGAGCAGGGCCTGTCCCCCTTGGGACCCCACTGCACAGCAATCCCCAGAGGGGCGGTGGTGACACAGCGGTAGGCAGATCTGGCCCCTGGGCATGGCTGGACAGAGGCCGCAGCTCGCCAGCCACGCCTGGGCCGGATCAAGCCCCTCCCTTATCAACACCCCGTCCAGCGTGTTGTCAGCCGTGGAAACGGACAAGCCCATGGCCCCAGGGTGGCAGAGGTGGTGGTGGTCACAAGGCCAGGCTGAGGGCCCCCCACTGGCCAGTGGGCCTCCAGCCAAGGACAGGGCGGGCACTCAGCGCGCAGAGGTGGGAGAGGGTTAATCCAAACTGCTGGAAAGGCGAAAAGGGAATTTTAAAATGCTGAGCTGCACATATCCTCGCTAGGACGAGAGCTGCTCATATGCTTGCTGGGCATTTTGGAATTTACCACTTAACGTCTTTTCAACTTCTTCGAGGGATTCTCCCTCCCTCCCCCTAATGCAAGCACAGATTTCTCGGCAGCTCATTCCTCCAGCCCCGTCATTTTTGGGGTAAAATACACATATATGTGTAATTAATGCACCACCCACATGCAGCATTTGTCTGGAAATACTAACTACCCTTTGCTAACAGATTCTTAGGTAGTAGGTTCTGATCGTCTATCACTGTGGGGACCAGTTTTGTTTTACTTAAAAGTAAAAAAAAAAATTTTTTGTCTCTGCTTGATGAAGACCTGAAACTTCATCGGCTTCATCAGTGGCCGTGATAAAAGTCCTGTCTGTGGGTTCCGGCCCCCTTCCCCAGAGAGCTCTGACTCCTTAGGCAACTCCACTCAGGATTTTTTCACTTAAAAGTCTTTCCGTGCTTGGTTGATAAAAAAATTCCGGTTTTAAAAATGCAGTTCTACTCGACGGCTGGAGCCCATGTGGAACCGGGTTCTTCCTGCCCTGGGTCCCAGCGGGCAGCGCAGGGCACCGTCCTGTTCCTGGCCCGTCCGGGAGGAGGTGGCTTTGGGTGGCCGGGCCCTCGCTGTCCTGCAGAGTGGACTCAGCCTTGTGTGCCCGGCGAGCTCCCCCCTGCACGGTGATGCTGGCCACCTGGACCGGTTCGGTCTCCTGTCCTTACTGATTCTCTAAAATGACACCCAGGAGACAAAACATACATCTGAATGTGCTGCATAAACAACACAGTGGGATCAGGGATAGAGGACAGCGGCCTTGCTCCTGGGAACCAGGACCCAGGAGTCCTGCCTGTGGGTTCCGGGTTGCCAACCCCTCACTCTTATAAGCCCGGTGTCACACTCTCCCCGACAGCTCAGGACCTGATTATTCCAGCCTAGTCGCTAGGAGCTCACTTTTCCATACTGGCCTTGAACTCATTATGAGCCCAGGCTGTCCTCGAACTCGCCGAGCTCCTCCTGCCTCAGCCTCCCCAATGCTGGGAAGACAGGCCTGCGCCACCAAGCCAGGCTCCCTTCTTCACAAAGCCATCTCTGACCCCACTAGCCAGCTGCCTGTTATCATACTTGGTGAGCCTGGAACTGTCCCTCCTTCACACCAAGTCCTCACCCATTCAGGGTGGAGCCCGGAGTTTCACCCTGTTAGGGATCCCGGGGCACATGCGCATAAGAGTTGCCGCCTGAGCTCAGGCTAGGAGCAGCAGAGGCCTCGGCCTCAGTGGGCTACCTCACAGCAGAAGGTTGGAAAAGCAAAGCCACCACCTACGTCAGACAAAACTTAGCAAGATCAGGGGAGCAAATAGGCCAGTAACAAGCTCTTGTGTCTCCCTGGCCTCCCTGCCAGGGTTAGTGCTTTAGCTCAGAGCTGGGGTCGAGGAGGACTAGGCAGCACACTCCACACCTCACAGCTCACCTTCCCCGGTGGCGTTGAATCAGGATGGAAGCCTGAGAGGAGGTGCGGAGAGGTTCCCGCACGTCCCCACCGCCGCAGCACGTGCAGACCCTCGCGGGGCACGGAGCGCGGAGGCCCGGCCGGGCGGGGCGGGAGCCACAGAGACCTTAGGTGCGGGCTCGGGAGGCAGCAGGGCAGGAACAGGCGCTCGGCCGCTGCGCAGAACTTTGCATCCGGCAGGGCGAGCGTCTGCCGGTGCCCTGCTGGTTCCGGTGCTGCACAGCAGGAAGCGCGCTCAAGTCCAGTCAGCTTGCGGGCTCGTGACGAGCACTCTCTTTAAAAGAGCAGACTGGGTCGCCCATCGTAAGGGTGGTGTTATTTTGGAAAGCCATGGCTTCAGTCGTGGTCATTCATCACATAGTAATGGGGTTGCGTTCTGAGAAATCAGGGTGTCATGAGGCAAGTGTGCCTGTGTGCAGACACCGTAATGGACCTGCACAAACCCACACGGGACTCACCCTCATCTGTGTGGTCTGTCCCGGGCCGAAATGCTGGTGCACAGCACCAGTGTTCCACGCTATGTCTGTGTGTGAGCACATGTGTGTGAATATGCACCTGGACACGTTGTGATGAAAAACACAGTGAGCCGTTGGATTAACAAGCAAGTTAGTACAGTAAAAGACACGCTGCCGTGAATCCACTCACTCGGAGGCCTCCCCTCGCTCAGAACACTCGCATCCCACCGTTCTTCCCTCTTTCCGCAGCAGCTCTGGAAGTCCTCTTTCACGAGTGTCGTTACTTGTGTTTTCCAGCTGCCTCCATGTACTGAATCCGTTCAAAACATTTCCCTTTCACGGTCGCTTTGACTTTGGGGAAGAGCCAGAAGACACATGGTGCCCGATCCGGTGGATGAGGGCACACTGCCGTGCTTTAATGAGTCTGCTCTTCCGCTGGATGGCATTGGCAGCGGTAGTCACCGTATTTTTGATCATACCTCATAAAGACACTCAGGAAGGAGCACTTCCAGGAGCGCTGCAGTATGTGTCGAGGACGATGGGACGAGTGTGTTTGAAGCGAGGGGGAGGGTTGAGAGGAGGATTCACTGCAGTGTGCTCTCGCTGTAATGTTTACACTTATACATTTAGCATCTACTTTGCTCACCCCTGCCGTACGGAACCTGCGTGTGTGGAGTGCGCGCGTCTGTGTGTGCGTAGGGGCTGCGTGGTGATGAGCAGGGATCTAAAACCTAGTGCACAAATCAGCTCCCTCGGACGCTGAGACCCCCGGTTCTCCCCTGTTATCCCAGCCTCCATTGCTGAGGGATTGTCCAGAGGAACGAGACCTTGCTACCCTTGTGCCCTGGCACTGGCTACTTGTGTGGGCACATGCGTCTCTGAGACAGCTCCTGGGGGTTTCCACAGGGCTCATCTGTAATAGAGTTTCACATTTTTATTCTTCAATTTGTTGGTGTTCTTTAAAGCGGCACTGTGATGTCAAGCCCTTTCCTGTTGTCAGTAGCGACATCTAGTGGTCCTGTCCTGAGCCTCCTGTATTCTAGACCTGTAGAACCTAAGTACAGGGAGTTTAGAGATCAAGTCCCATTTTATAAATTATTAAAAATGAACTGAAAATTCGTGTGTATTATATTCAAACTAACACCACATAATATATAAAACCTATAGCTCCGCTGGTCCCCATTCTGCAGACGGCAGGGAGCAAATGTGTGTTCCTTTGGGGAGAGTACCCACCTATCCTGAGAAGTCTTTCTCCAATGCAAGCAGCAGAATGAGATCTCCCAAGCCTCCTCCTGCAGTAGGTTTACAGGAAGAGACCCCAGCCCCTTTTCTGTTAGTGACAGAAGATGGCTAAATCAGAAGATGGCAGAGCCGCCCAGAGGGAGTGGATTTCGATCTCCATGCCCTAACATGGGCTGTTACGGTTTCAGTATGGATGTTCCCCCAAAGCCTCATGCAGTCATGGGGTGGGTGCTTTTCAGGGGTGGCTGAATCTAGAGTTTGTGATTGATTCATGGTCCAATGCTCGGATTAAGGGTGTGAGTGCTACACCCGCCCTAGGCCAGGTAGCCTGCATACAATATAAAGGATGAAAAAAGGCTTGTCCCTTCCTTAGCTTGCTTTTGCTGTCTCCTGCTGCATGAATGGTCGCTCCTCTGCCATGGGCCACCCTGCCTTGAAACTAGCCCATTATGGACCAAACCTCTACAAACCGTGAGCTAAACAAACCTTTCCTCACTTAACTCTGGGTGTTACATATTTTGTCTCAGCAATGAGAGAAAAGTAACTAACCCATGGGCCAACCCAATGAACATATTATTGGGTTAGGCAAAGAATAAAAACTAGACACCAGCTGCAGGCTATGGCTTGAATGTGTCTCCCAAAAAGTGTAGGTTGAAAGTTAGTCATCACCAAAACAGTATTGAGAGGGCAGACCGGAAGGAGAGGGTTGGCTGTGCTTGTGGTGGCCAAAGCTCATTCCCGTGTCCACTGTCTTCTATCACTCACATGCTGTGTCCCAACCTCGAGAACCATGA